GAATACGTACGTAATTTTATCTCGTCTACTTTGTTTAGCAGTTCTTTCGCAAGTTAGTTAATTACTTCAGGGAATCGCCAAGATGAATTAGATAAATAAACTGATTCAGTGAAAATATAAATTGACACCAATGTGACTAAAGAAAATTGGTTGAAGAATGATTAATGATTTTCTTTGTGATTTAAGACAAACGGCTCTTTGGAAAAGGAGAGATAAGGCTGACGACAGAACCAAGAGTTTCGTCGGCGCCTGCATAAAGGGCGCCTCGTAAACTGAATAGAACATTGTTACTAGCGCTAAATGAAGGTATTATGGCTACCTTTGAAGGGGCAACTTCTTCTTAACACGAGTAAATAGAATGAACGCAAATACAGACTGGATATATTGTAATGTTAAACACAGTGTTAATAGAATTCGCTTCGTCCCCTTTTAGCACGTTATCTTTTCTTATTATCTATCTCTTTTTATTCTTTTGGCAGCTCCTTTGATGAAGTGGAGTTTTATCTTTGTAAAAATAATGAATATGTTTTCTTAGTTTGTGAAGGTTTTCACTGCTTAATTTTAATACATAATATAGTTATTAAACCTAACACGCTAAGGTGGTAGGTAACTTAAGAGTATAATAAAAGTTAAGTGCTTTTAAAAGAAATTCTATTAAGCTACCTATTTCGTTATGTATAGAAATATTTTAAGCAATTTTCTGTTATTTCTTAGGTTTCAACTAAACACAAATAGATTCTAGAAGCTGGGAGGCGAAGCCCTAAATGTAATATTAATCCCAAAGGTCAGAGTGCGGCCTGAGCTTTACTGTTAACCTACTCTATGAATAAAATCAAACTGTAGTTCGACAGTAATAGGGATAAAGGTTTTATTTTTTAAATCTCCTACGGCTGGAATTTCGAAAGTATTCTCTATTGCCAGTTTGCTTTTGTACCTAGATTTTGGTTGGTAATTGTTTAATGTAACTTGGTCCCTTGTGAACTAAGAAAACATCTGCGCTCTGTTATATTTTTTGCTCTATTCTCTTCTACGAGTAATATGGCTAGAAGGATACGTATGCGCCTAATGAAGGTAGAAACTTATAAAATGAAGTACATTTTATTTTCGGAGTTATTTGTACCACTTTTCTACAATTATGCTGTGATTTTAATTGTCTTAAAACCTTCTTGCTCTTATTTAGCCAAATCCAAATGACTGCGTCAAAAATGCAACTTAATACGACTGTCGCTTTACTATCTCATTTTCACATCGATAATATCACAAAGGGATCACTAAACCAAATTTCATTTACATACCTAAATATATTTTTGAATGAAAACGACAAAAACATTAAGTCTATCCATTCCGGAGTTATAGATAAAATTACTGGCAGGGAACAGAAATACGGAACGTGGCTCGGTCGGCACTGAGCAAATTACTTTGAATAAAGATAACGAGAAATGAAACCAGAGTGGCGTTTGTTGAGGTAACTTTTAAACAGTGTGAGGATTCTTGATACCTCCCCTTGAGCAAATGTTACGCAGTACCACTTATATTTTGATTCGCTAAGTGTGTTTGGCTCGTGTAATCGGCCTAATGTCGCTCTCATATGATTATTGAACGTAATTACATAGTAATCAAAAATGTTTATCGAAGGAAATTTTCGCTGAGCGTGCATTTCGCCATTTTGGATTGTTTATAAATTCTATATTTTGGATATTTTATTCCACTTGCGTGTAGAGTGCTTTGAGTAAATTGTTCTTAGACATTGTTGCGTGGTTAATTTTGAAGAATGCTCATTTAATGGATTTTCCCTAACAATAAGATTGCTTTTATCATTAATTAATACTATAATCAACTTTTGTATCTTGGAAATCTTAAGGTTTATTCTATTCTATTACAAAGACACGACAAGTATTCATTAGGACAACTGCTTCAACTTGGAAACACATATCATGCTGACAACAAGCGGCTAATATAAAAATTGTCATGGGCTATTAAGGGTCTACACATGCGCATTGGCTATTGTCTACCGGCGCCACGAAGACGGGGCAAGTCATTTCTCATCAATAAAGGAAGCCCAAGCAATCAAGTGGGCGCTTGCAATCAACCACTAATAAATTGATACAGATTGATAATAAGGTGTCGGCACTCAGGGTCAATTTATGATACAAATGATCGGACAAAACTACAATACTCGTGGAATGTAACATATTACCTACACATTTTGTTCGGAACATACCTTTACACACATATATGTATATGCACGTTTTAACGTGGCATAGCTAGAATTTTTATTGCTTATATAAAGAGAGTTTTAATGTAACATTTATAAAGTCTGTTTTGCCTATTTTGATGATGTTAGGCTTAAAAAGGAACGTTAACAAAAACATAAGACTCGAGTTTCTAAGGAAAATAGGTCCAATTCTGATTGACTGCCTGACATTATCTATTGACGACTTGTCAATATTGAAATTGGTCAAGTTCAAGAAACTTCCACACGTGTAAACCCATATAATCTTATCTTACAGATAATAAATTCATAACACAACAACACCTTTTTCTCTGTTGCGTCTTAGTAAGGAAAAAAGTATGGGATTAAGCGCTTAAATAATAGTTACACATCTTAAGGTAACGTTCGGTCGTAATTCTCAACGTAAAACTTATGACTCGGGTTTATGTTGGCTTTATTCATTACAACACATTTCTCATTGTGGACAGCGTGTATTACTTATATTAAAACCTGTAAATAATATCTCGGCTCGTAACTACATATGTATTTACAATATTTGGACGTGTATTCACAAAACGCTGTCCCGAGTTATTCCCTTCCTATACTTTTGGTGCGTTAAAAATACTACATATCTCATTTCTTACATCAATCTACGTACCAGATATTTTAAACTTTAGATAACTATATGCTAATTTAATTATACAAATTGTACAATTTCATGCTGTAAAACCTGGAATACGTTGATTCTTGGCAAACTGCTCAGCTTTAATGCTTAGCGCTTAGGCGCTTTGCGCAAGCCTTGCAAAATGATCATCATTTAAAAAATTATCTTATTAAGACGCAGTTGTGCCATTTTTCATATCGAATTAGAGACTAGCGTGACGTATAATATTTGTTGGTACCCCATGACACTGGTTTACCATTGTAACAAGCCTATTGACGTTAGCAGTCACGCAAAAACAATTCAGTCTTCTTAAGAGAAAAACTGTCATGGCGAGTTTTTATTACCTACAAGTAAGTACGTATAAACCTATATTTAAATACATCACGTCCTACACAAAAGCTGCGAAGTATTGATTTTGCCGTCTTGTAAATTGCTTATGGAAATTAAGTTATGAGATGAATGAAACTAAAATTTGGGAAAATCAGTCAAATCAATGAGTTTATTTCCTTGAAATATTAACAAGTCTTTGATACAAGATATCTTTGTGATTATTCGTATGTACTTACATGTAAGTGCCTAAATCAAGGGTCTGAAGGGTCAGACCCTAACCATGTAGCTTGGTCCCTACCAACCTACATTTAGCCATTTAACTGTTTTATGTATTATCCAAACTAATATTATAAATGCGAAAGTAACTCTGTCTTTCTTCACGCCTAAACTACTGAACCGATTTCTGTGAAATTTAGCACAGACATAGTTTGGAACTCGAGAAAGGCCATAGGATAGTTTTTATATCAAAAATCTGCAGGATGTCACTATTCAACGCGAACGGAGTCGCGGTCAAAACTTACTTTATAAATACTGCATCAAATGTAATATTGGCTACGAAACAATAACAATGCATAGTTCCCCTAATAAACTAAAGCTAAACTGCTTACAATGTTGCGCACGGAATGTGTAATGTTGGAAAATATAAGAGAAGTATTAAATTCATTTATTTTTAGACTGTTTTGTTGTAACGGCCATATTTAAGCATGCCTTGATAAGAAGCAAAAAAGGCGAAGAGTGAAGGTAATTTTTATTCTTGATTGTCAGTCATATCAACACTGGATTCTCCGAAATATTCATGTTATGTTCGCTTTACAGGTATTACAAAAAATAATATATTATACTCTTAATTTCAAAGTTTATTTATTTATTTATTTTGATCACTTGTACCTCCAAGAAGTATTCTAATTTTACCTTTATCTGGTTGTTTTTTTTTTCTTGAAAGCAATAGATTGGCCAACGCGCAGATCGATTACCTGATGGTTAGCGAACAGTGGACACCCCTGCTACAACAGAGGAGTTACTAGTGCGTTGCCGGACTTTTGGGGATTAGGGTTAGGGTTTTGGGTATTTAGAGATTAGGGATTGACAAGGAGAGGGGAAGGATTGGGTAGACATACGCCCAATAGACAGAGGTAAGTTGTAGCAGTAAGCAAAATATATGGATCTATCTGTAACTATACATCTATCTATATAAACACGCAAAACCAAATTTAATTTTACGTGGCTTTCGGTGCACACTGTGATTGAAGATGTTCACCATAAAATTCACTATTGATAACTCCATAATTTCAACTCAAAACTACCTAACAGAACGGTGATCCATTCCATTCCCCCTAGCCATAAAGTTTGCCTTTACCGTGATCTGTTACTGGGCCTACAAAGATGTCAATTTCACATACACCGATGGAATTTTATGGTTCCTGATTCTACGATATATTCTACGACAGAAACGGTTAAGAATTGTATTCTTTCCTCTTTTGAGAAAATTTATAGTGTTCATCATATTGACTTAGGTTATAAAGTAAAAATTAAATGTTGGTGTACATCATATTGGAGGTATTATTCTCGTCAAAAGCATTTTAATAATACGCAATGAGTATAACAATTTAGCTCTCTCTTTATACACTATATTCCTCTATTTTATCTACCCTTGTGTTTTGCCAGGCGTATTTTTTTTAATCGTTCAAACACGTTGTTGTGTGTTACTTTTTAAGTGTTCCGTGTTTCTACCAACCATCAATATTTCGACCTTTATTTTATCTAGAACTATATTGATATCACAACGAGACTAACCTTTTTTGCATTCTTCAATTTCTTCATCGGAGTTGTCTTCGCAGTCTTTTTCCAAATCGCACACCCACATGCTGGGTATGCATTTGCCGTTGGTACACTGGAACTGCTTCAAGGAACATATTGCTGGAACAATAAGAAGCGTTTTTAGAAACATTTTCATATCTACTAACAAGAGAAGGTTGGAACACAAGATTTCTAGGGAATGACAACGGGATAGCAACAAAACTAGCTATGTAGTCTATATTTAAAAAAAGTATTTTCCTAATCGCGTCGTATGTTCGACATACATTGCTCATTATGTTTGTTTGCGCAGACGATGACGCAGCCCGCTTCTGTAATGTACAACGAACACACGCCGCGCCGCGTAACGCAGCGCATATCCGCAAACGCCGTCTGACTCTGCACACTACGTGCAACATACATAATATTATTATCCCATTATGTTATATGTCAGTAAAATGTTTTATCATCGATGCGATTAAAAGACGCATTCTCATATACCTATATAATTAATACCTAAACAAATTTAGCGAAAGCAAAACTAGCGTTAGGTACCTCTATTTTCCATTTACGCCAGCTTGTTCCCCACTCCAGATGGAGGGTGTTAATCACCCAGACCCACAAACTAAGTGACTATGGATTTGCATTTGACATGTCAAACACGGAACTCTAATTATGTACGTGTGGATCTGCATCCAACATGCTTCGAGGTAGCTGTATGGTAAACGGAGCACTGGCTGGATTTAAATCTTTAGTGTTTGCCGTTAATTGTGGTCGGCCATTTTGTAAATGGAATTGGTTGTTATTTCGATTTGTGTTTTGATAATGCCTAGTAGTAAGTTAAGTACCTATATTATTTGAATGGATTATGCTATTTTCTCATCGTAAGAAAATACAATTGGTCGGTGTTTTAACTAGATGCCTACAAGAAAGTTTTTATACTTACTGGTAATAGCTAATTACCCGTTATTTTTTAAACTTGTGAGATTTTGCTATTAACAATAATTATATAGGTCTAGATCTCCGCAATATACTTTTCTCGAAAGCAACTATATTTTTTTATCGAAGATCCCTCTTTTTCTTAATACAATAAAAAGTGCATTTGAGTTTAAAATTTAGATCAAGTAGTATCTAGTGCCTATTAGAATGACCACATCATTAAAAGCGTTCGGCTTTTGTAAGAAAGCTATTACCCTTTTTCAAGACAAAAAATAAAAGTAGGAAGACTACTAAAGTATTAAAAATACCTACAATAAATTTTATTGGAAAATGTTATAAGATGAAATAATGGACAAGTTGGAGTGATTGTACCTATAACGTATCACAGTACTTAAATAACAATTATGGTTCAATACATTGAGTATGGAAGAAGGCACGCAATTGCTAAATATCAGTTTCAGTTCAAAAACTTAAAAACTTACCATCACATAATAACGGTTTGTCAAATGACGAATGTATCGGTTAGACTAACTGCTACTGCCATCTCTTATTTGTATTATGAACTAATTAATAATGATTTAAAACAAAACACTAAAAAAAAACAAGTTTAATCAATAATATTCTCTCTCATGTTCTCTAATAAATTATATTGTCATTCTAGCGTTACAATTTTTAATAGTATAACAATGTAATAAATCTTTAAATACCTACGTTTGTAAAATACAAGATTATAAATATATTAAAGTAATTGCAACACTAACGCCATCTAGTAGCAATTAATAAGAAATAACTGTAATGTTATGAGATTACACGTGCGAAACACACGAGAATATAAAATAAACTTAATAAAGATCAAACTGACTTTTTAAAATATGGTAATGAATAACAAATGTTCATCAACTTTATCAACGGAATTATGAGGATCCTCATTTAAAAATTATACCTGCTATAAAAGGAGTCGGATTCCTTAGACCATCCATTTCAAACCCAGCAACGTTCGTACAGATTTATTTCATTTTTGATTTTGATCTTAAAACATTCACACTGCAAAAGTCGTTCGCATGAGGCGTCGCTAGTTTACTAATTTACAAATGAAAATCAACGTTTCGAGAGAATGAAACTTACTGTTAAAACTAATACTAATGTTTTTTTTTGACGTGAAGATTTTTAGTTGCTTCTTTTGTCCTGGGTGGAGCGAGACGAAGTTTCAGAATCATACTGACTAAAAACTACCTTATTCTTTCTCCTGCTCCAAACGTTACAAAACCATTTAAAGCACCTGGCTTCACTGACGAACAGACTGACAGACTATTATTCTATTTTGATCAAAAATACCTATTAATGGTTTAGTTCTACAAATTAATAAAAAATTACTCAAAAGATATTTTTGTTATCTCTTTCCTAGTAACCCCTTATAAATTGGAAATAGGTACTCCAAACATAAATAGTGTTATTATATCGACGAAGAATGTCATAACCCAGTGACGTCACCATTGAAATAAACCTTGCGGCAGAATAAAGTATACATTTTTATGTAAATACCGATTTTAATTTGAGTACGTCATTATTCTGTAACGTTCCAACTAGAATAAAATAACAAGATAGATACATTTATTTCAAAATGTCTTTATAGTATAAACGTAGTTCTTTTTTATTTGTATACTGAAATCGTTAAAACATTTATTTGAAACTAAATTTTGGATGAATTCTCTTTAGGTAATAGTAATAAAGTTTGGACACTGAACCAAGGATAAAAAAGGACAGTTCATCTCCGTATTACTTATAAAATATATGATAGTTGCTTTAAGTCATTATTTACCTACAGTCTATATATTAATACACTGACTCAATTGAGCTCTTTCAAATAAACTACAGTTTGAAAATTGCTTTCAACAGATCTTTAGTCTCATTGACTCAGAATACAATATTACCTCTGTTCGAATCAACGTAAACAATAAAACATTCAAGTGTAATGATAAGATAACATTATACGCTAATTTGACATGCGAGCCAGACATGCACGTTCAATAATTTAATTTTATATCAATTCACGTCGGGAATACAATTTAATACAGATATTTTATACTAATTGGGATTAAATAAATCCATGTAAATTGTACACGATTCTGATTTTTATATAATTACTTACGTATAAATGAATCATAATTACCAATAGTAAATGATAAGATTGCACAATTAAATTTACTCGGTTTAATCCCGATATCATTGATAGTACAAATGATTCACATTTTATATCTACTAATTAAAAAAAACCTCTTCGATACTTCTGATACTATAAATTATTATTATACTTTCCCTGTAGCGTGTAACTCTCGAACTATTTCTGTTAACATCTCAATTATCTGCGTCCAACAAAAAGTTCCATTCATAACACTGGCACGCCCAACACACATTTCAAAGATAAACACACAATAAAGAGGAAAATACCCTATCAAAACTTGGCATATAACTCAAACGGGCCTATGCTGTTACAATATACGTCTGGACATACATTTCCATGATCCTTAACAGTCTTTATAAGTCCATTATGTAATGGACGCAAGGAATCAGATGGTCAATACAATCGGCGAGACTATCTTGCTTGTCCGCTTGAATTGATTTATGCGGTAATATTTTCGAGGAGAGATACCCATTCTCCTCTGTATGGAACGTAGCAATCAATGATTTACATACACGCTATTGATTTATAGCGGACCAGCAGATTGCATTACTCTGTATAAATATTTGTAAAACAAAAGGCTCTTTTATGGACACAATGCTCTTGGGATCGCTCGCCATATTTTTTACACTTTGTCCATTCTGTTTAAGCTTTTATAATGAGTTTTATTGGAGGTACCTTTGTATCAGTAATTCGTTCTGTAACCTTTTATTGTACAGGGTCTTGATTATTTAACATGAATATGTATTACGGAAGTTACGTAGTACTTAACAGTTTTTATATTTACATGCAAATTATATTAACCTCAGTGGATTTAAAAAAACATCATAACCATCAGAAATCGTAATCAGCCCAAGTTGCGGGTTTAGCGACATAATGAAATACAGCCCTGGCCTGGTGTAGGAGAAGGAACGCGGTTATTTTTGATTCAAAACGAGTTTGACACTCCCAGTGTAAGAGAAGTCATTTCATGATTTTCCAATAAAAAGAAACAATAGTGTAATTACTTAATTAAAAGTTTCAGCTCAGTTGTGCATAATACTAACTGCTTGGGCTATAATTCGCCACTCACTTAGTACAAACGCAAGCTATTAATAAATCTTATGTGTTTCATCCACTCCAGATTTTTATTAACTTATTAGTAGATACGATCTGAAACTTCCAATGGGAATTACGTCGTACGGTGAAATCTGTGTTGATAACATTTCCAGCAACCATTCATAAAACGTCCAAGAAATAGAGAATATTCCTTGAAACGTGTAAGTCAAAAAGAGTCCAGAGTGAATCAAATTGGTCCGAGACAAAACCCGTTTAATTTTAATGGTATAGGTAATATCATTCATGAAGTCTAAGTGGTCTGAAAGGGACACTAATTTAATTTCATTACTTTGGGCGGGTTGTTGTACTAAAAGCCGGCCGTGTGATGTGGCACGCTCGCCCTGACATCCAATCTGTGTGGAGAGCCCTCATGTCTGTCTCATTGAGAGCAAATCGCTCGAGCCTGAGGGGACTGGCCCGGCAAATTTGAACATTATGGTTACCGTTACTGAAAGTTGTTTTAGAGGCTCAAATCCCGCGTGCAACAGCCTCCAATCTACGTGATGGGACTACGACAGCATGTCCAGTATTCGATTAAATGTGTTTTGATTAATCTGCAGCGCGAATAACTTGACATAAGGGAGCCGTGTGGCATTCATATTATGTGTGAACTATCTGCGTCGAAGGTAATCAGCTTCTGACCGACGAGGTACTTATACATTATTCATTAACATAAAAAGCAGATAGTATTGACCAATGAATCCACTTTTTGTATATGTTATTTGAAACAACATATATTTAACTTTGCTTTGGTTCAAAACTGTTAATAAGTATTCACTATACAAGCTTCTACCTAAGTTTTATAAAACGGCATTTATTCTGCAAAACACCAAGTAATTTATCTTAATCGCGACACTTCGTTCATTTAGCTAAATGGTGCACGTTAGTAATCACGTCGCTCTAAATTACCAACACGATCATTTTAACTACGAAATTAACCCTTATGTCCCACCGATTCAATGTATTGGAATATCCCAATTAGAATTTACTCTGTTCGAAGCTCGTGACCCCAACTAGAACTAATACGTTTATTTGTTATTCGATTTGACTCTCGGCTTAGACAAGGGTTTGTCGCCATTTTAGGTCTAACTGAACCCTTCTGTCCTTGTTATTTCTAGTGTCCATTAAATTATCCCTTTCCCTTTGAACACTTCAGCGTTTGTATTTTCAGTTTGTTTTTTCTCAAGACCATCGGCTTAAGAGAGGC